AAAACTTATCGCAACAACCTATATTTTTTTTCTGTTTTTCAGAAACAGAAAGTAGTAAGCTATTTCAGCATATAAGCCGTTAGCCTGGGAAAATTCGTTTTTTCCAAGCAGGTCCGTTGAAAAAACTGCAAAAAAACTACATTTTTCGTATCCAAAATTTACGTTTAACTACAGTTTCTACCCAAATTATAGAGTCGACGGACAATAACCAAAATTGTATCGGAAGCCTGCTGGAAACCTCCGTTGACTGATGTAATGAGATTTCCCGGCGTACTTTTTTTGGCGGAGTTATAGCCCTTCGGTCTGAGGGTGTCCGCCGGATCCAAAATCGTGAAAAAAACTCCGGTCCGAGACCTTATGCCGAAGGGCTGTCATACCGCCTGCACAGACACAGTCAGTGACTGACGCTGTTGTGTTACGCATAAGGATGGTTACACCTACTATATATATATGCAGAAGCTGGTCACAGTGCATTTAGAAACACCCACAAAACAGACAATGAACTTGATACAGTCACTCCAGAAGCTTTACACTTTCTCCAATTCACCAGTTTCCCATCCCCAGAATGCAATGCGAAAATAGGGGGGTAACCCTCATTTGCATAGGGTTGGAAGGCATCGGAATGATCCTGGTGACGTTAAACAGCTTGCTTTTCACTGTGTTTTGAGGTGTTAGGGCATTTTATGCTCAACAGTAATTAAATTACTATGGGTTGAATCTGAAAACAAGTAGAGAATGAAATTTTTTTGGAACACATAGTTTGTAACGTTATAGTGGTAACGCTATTCTGATGCTGTAACGTTACAAACCACATGTTCCATGTTGAAAAGAACACTAAAACTTCATTCTTTATTTGTTGTCAGACTCGGCCCATACTAATTTAATTAATGTTGAGCATAAAATGCCCCAACACCTCAAAACACACTGAAAAACAAGCTGTTTAACGTCAACAGGATCATTCCGATGCCTTCCAGCCCTATGCAAATGAAGGTTACCCCCCTATTTTCGCATTGCATTCTGGGGATGGGAAAAAAGTGAATGCCCTTCACATAAAAAGACGTCCGCCCTCCGGATATACGAGCGGTAAATAAAAACTGTAAATTCTCTCCGTATGGAAACAGCAGCGTGACTAGCATTGTACAGTACAGTACTGGTTCACTACATTCCATTCATTACTTCTCCTGTGAAGATTAAACTTGTAGGAGCATCCATTAATTCCTTGTGTTAAATTTTACTAGTTAGTTCTACTGTGGATGGTAAGCTCGAGACGCTGTACGAGCGTACATTGGTGCTGAGAATTCCGCCTGTCGCCTACGGACGCCCTGAAAAAAAAATGAACAGAATAGTCGGGGATTAGATGTGAAATGATCTAGTAGTTAAAAACCCTATGGCACCAAAAAAAAGTCTGTGAAATACATATGTGTGTCGAAAGTATTATACGATATAGTCGCATGAAGTTGGTGTTAACAATAATGTAATTGTTTACTAGTTTTTTTTCAATTTGTTATCATGTTGATCATGTAATATAGATATAGATTTGTTATTATGTTGATCATGTAATATAGATATAGATTTGTTATCATGTTGATCATGTAATATAGATTGCATAAATGCACAATTCAGCATCTTTGCATACAAATGAAGCTGTCATGTATTTTACTGAATTATGAACGAAGTCAATAAATTCAATATATAACATCACGCACTGCTAAGACCAAACAGACATGGGACTGACTAAGCACATCTCGGTATCATGGGCACATTAAGACATGGTTTGTGATGCAATATGGTCTACCGCCTTAGTCTGACGGATACTTCAGCCATATCAGCTGTGCCGTGTTTACCAGCTGTAGGTGAAAAGGTTTCAGGTAATAGTGCGGATACAATAATTACCTGGCGCAACCTGGCATATGAAGTTAAATGTCGAGTGGCATTCTCTGTCTTTCCACTTGTCTGTGTATGCGGAGTAACGGACGCAATCTGCATTTTTGTGGTCCTTCCATCCTCTGTTGTCCGGTTGTCCCGTACCCCAGGAGCTGTACGACCCAAGTTGAGAACCGTCCACCCACACAAACTTTCCCTCTTCGTGCTGATCGTGCAGGCCGAACCAAAAAGCAAAACCGTCGCTCACGCGCTTGTACAGCCAGATCAGGAAGGCGTCGGTCTCGGCGTCTCGGGGCATGGCGAGGGTGCCGCCGTCTTTGCCACAGGCCGCGGTCGCTCCGCTGAAGTTCTTCGCAGCGATGAAGGCCTTGTAGCAGGTTCCACGCCACATTGTGTAACCTCCGGGACAAGATACTGGACGATATCAACAACAGGCCAAGGATGAGTCATGTTAAAAATCATGTCATGTATCCTATATATATGTGATTCATCCACAATAAGTCTACTAGGTTGTAATCGATAACTAAAAATCAATATGTGTATCGGTATCCTGCATGAACTGTCTTTATTATTTTTTATTTATTTATCTATTTGGCTTCACCACAAGAAATATACAAGTGGAAGGGGGTGCAAAACAAGTGTATGAACACCTTTGCAAGTTGCCCTTTTAAAATTATGATAGTGGCAAATATATAGACCGACATAAAAAGCCAATATAACAGCTGAAAACCAATTTACCTTAATTCTTACCAATTTCGTGAATACGCTTTTCCAAGGCGGCGATTCGGCTGCGTTCGTTGTCTAGGTTGCGTTTCAAGGCGTCAACAGTGGTGGACATGCCGTCTTGGTCGCGTTTCAAGGCGTCAACAGTGGTGGACATGCCGTCTTGGTCACGCTTCAAGGCGTCAACAGTGGTGGACATGCCGTCTTGGTCACGCTTCAAGGCGTCAACAGTGGTGGACATGCCGTCTTGGTAGTGCTTCAAGGCGTCAACAGTGGTGGACATGTCGTCTTGGTCGCGTTTCAAGGCGTCAACAGTGGTGGACATGCCGTCTTGGTCACGCTTCAAGGCGTCAACAGTAGAGAATATGCCGTCTATGGCACGCTTCAAGGCGTCCACAGATGTGGACATGTTGTATTGGTCGCATTTCACGGCGTCAAAAGTCGTCGACAATTGAGATATTTCCTACAAGCGTATATACATGCGTCAGAATGCCGAACGTAAGAAACAAATTTACGCAAAACAGCAGTAAACGTCTATTAATTATGCGAATCAGGTCTTCATTTACATAATCTATAACCTCAGATGTTTTTCTCGTTCTCAATTACATGTCACAAGTGTTTCATATTCCTATTATCGAACGAAAAAGATTTATAGAATATCCTCATTAATTACGCAAATTAGCGCCTGATTTACATAATTGTCATCTGATTATGTCAAGTTTCACTTCAGCTACCTACATGCCAAAATCATGACAATCCGTTAACCGGTTCTTGAGTTATCCACCTTCGGAGATTTTTCAAGAAACGCTCCTGCAGTTCCAAACTCATGTCACTTCTTCCCTACCCCAAGAGCTATCTACCAACCAAAATTCGTGACCCTAGCATATCTAGTTCGCGAGATATCAAAACCGGCCATTCTGCTGCAGTACCAACAAAAGCCTCCAGGGGGCCCAAAATCTAATCATTTCTAGGTCTCATCAAGACCTACCCACATATCAATTTTCATAACAATCCACATTAAGCTTCTTGAGTTATGCTGTTCACAGACAAACAAACGGACAGACAGGCAGACAGACAAACGCTACTGAAAACATAACCTTCTTGGTGAAGGTAACACTTATAAAATAGAACAGGCTTTATGGTACAATGCTGTTACCTGTTTGTTGATGAACGTCAGAGGGGCGAGTCCCACAGAGACAAGGCTCAGCAACACGGCGATACCGGCGGCAAGGCAGCTGCGGTGGGCTCGGAGAAAGCTACAGACACCACGGCGGCCGCTCGCTCCACCCGGATACGTGCGGTCTAGTAAAAAAAACATACATACCAGAAACCAGAAATACCAGAAGTATACAATTTTTGTATGAAAATGAAAACAATTTTAAATGCCTGCATTTAAGAAAAATGAAAAAACCCTACGGGTATTAGGGAATCACCACTAGAAAGTACATTTCTGTATTGAAACATCCAAATGACCTCAGATGACTTCAAATGGAAGCTTGCACTGTTATTTTGGCCCAAAATAACCACAATTGGAATATCGACATCCGCGGATCCAGAAATTTGTGAACGGGGGGGGGGCGCACCACCAGCGTCAGCGCTGCGCGGGGGGAGAGCACGGGGGGGGGGGTTGGGGGCCTCCCACAGAAAATTTTTAAAATTGAGAGTCTCTCTGGTGCATTTTAGAGTCATTTCTGAGCAAATAACCAACGAACTAATACTGATGTTTTCAGTACATTCATGTGCCTGTCGGTACATTTTCAACGACTGAGAAATAGAATGTTGAAAATGCCTCTATGTTTGGGACGACTAAATTTCACGAAACGGTGTAAATAAAGAGTTCGCGATGGATTTTAGTTAGCGAAAAAAAGGAACAAATACAAAAGGAAATGTCGCCTCTTTATAGACCGGATCACTAAAACATTTTCCGATCGCGGGGAACGCGCGGTCACAACATCGCAGCACTCAAATACACTAACGGATAACTAATGTGACAACATGTGAAGTAACGGCCGTGGCGACGGAGCGCCGCGCACGTGTTTACCATTTTCAAGAGTTCACAAAATTTTAGGAGAATACTAAATTCTCGAGCGCCGGGTGTCAGCGGAAGACACGCATTGAATGGGGCCACCTTGCCTGCTGTAACCTGACCGGACCACGGAAAAGTTAGCTCGGCGTAGTTTATCAAAAATTCGATTGACCGCCCATCGGAGAGCAACGATTATCGAGACGGAGAAGTGAGCCTGTGCGACAGAATTTAAAATTTTATGCAAACTAAAACAAGAACGAGGGGCTACTGGGACTTACAATTCTGAATGGGAAAGAGCAAAAAGGTTTTTTTTTTTAAAATTGCTCGTAAACCGTTCTGTTCCAAAGTTCCGGTGAACTCATGTGAACTCTGATAACAGGAAAAAAGATCACACTAAAGGACATACAATAGACAATGCTGTGTTATAATTTGTCATAGAAGAACTGATTTAGACTCAATATGTGGCTACTTGGAATCGGGGAAAGATGCACAGGAACAGTGGCTAGCAGACGGGAAGATAGAGGAGTGGCTGTAACGGTTTAATTTTGTATGTGTTATACAGAAATGTGTCAGTCTATACTGTGTAAGTTTTGATAGGCTATATGATAATAGCGTTAATGGCCCGCCCTTTCTCGGTGAATATGGTGTGATAAAGCCTTGTCAGTTGCTATAACCACCGAATAAAGCCACTAATAGACATTGTTAGTGCTATAGTTGTCATGTATAGAGACACATCTGCTGTATACGTAGCTATCACTCCAGATGGAGAGACTGATATGTTTAGCATTGACACTGGTGTTCTGCGAGGGGACCCTTTTGTCCCGTTTCTGTTCGTTGTATGCCTAGATTATGCTTTAAGGAGCCCGATTTCAGACACTGATGGTTTTACACCATCGTCGCAGTAGTCGCTACCCCGTTGAAGTCCTTGCTGACATTGACTCTTCGCGGACGACATTGTCCTTTTAGAAAACACACTTCTTTTTGCTCAAAATTTGTTAAACAAAGTAGAGGCGGCATGCCAGGCCATAGGCCTATATCTTAATCCATCCAAACCAAAATATATGCATTTCAACCGAACATTGTCCCAGCAACTAACTGCATCTGATGGCTCTGAAATCGAGCCAGTGTCAGGATTTAAGTATCTAGGGGGCCATACCAATTCTGATAGAGACATAGAGTATAATATTGCTCTTGATTGGAGCTCCCTCCATTCCCTACAAAAGGTATGGAAAGCTCCAATCAAGAAACAGACAAAACCCAAAGTGTTTAAAGCATGTACAGAGACTATTCTACTCTACAGCTCTGAGTCATGGGCTATGAATGCTGCCCAGAGCAAGAAACGAGATGGTACATATACAAGAATGTTAAGAACAGTGTATAATGTTTCACGGAGACAACATCAAACAAACAAACAATTCTATAGCTCTCTCCCGACCATTTCATCTGTAGTCCGACAACGTAGACTTGCCCTGGCAGGGCATGTTGTTCGTAGTAACGAACCAGCTGGTAGACTAGTACAGTGGCTTCCTACTGGGAGACGTAGAGTGGGACGTCCTTATACCACGCTTTTGTCCATGTTAGAGAGAGACACTGGGACTGCATTAGTGTCCGCTATGAGAGATAGGACATACTGGAGTAACTTTATCAAGTGTACCTCACCGGATTAATAATCAGGAGGCATGATGATGATGATGATGATGATGATTCCCAACTTATTTGTATGTAAATATCAATTGAACAGATAACTAGATTACGCCACTTATGGAAAATATAATCAGATTACACCGTTATATTTCATCGTCAATGTTTTCTGCATAAATGAGAGGCGATATTAAATAAGAGACACCGAGAAGGCCAATGGTTGGTAACATATCAAAGAACACAAAACAGTACGATTTTTTCTTATTGCCCCCGAAATTAGGTCTGTAACGTAACTTTCTTGGTCAAAACATAGACACCGATGGGGGTAGCGTGGTGTATTCTGGGAAACACTACAACAGCGTCTTTGTCAAATTTCCTAATTTCTTCAACGATGCGACGCAGCGCAAGAATATGTGATGTAGTAGATCGGCTTTGGCGAAAGCATTTTGATTTGGGCGAAGAATTACATCAACTAGAAAGGCCGATATTTGCTTTGGAGCAAATACAGCGATGGCTTCACCACATTTTACGACATAGCAGGGAAAGAATGAGAAACACAAGGGAAAACAATGATTTACATTGATATAACTATAGTATGAAGTAACATACAACTAAGACTACAACATAGCTATTGGATAGCTATTCCCTACATTATTGGTTAGGATTTTTAAATGCATAATTCAAACTGTTGATTTTCAAAATAAAAAGAAGCCAACAGAATCCAAAATAATAAGGGAAAATACATTTTATTCCCTTTTTTCGACTTCAGAATTAGAAAATGAAGTTCCTAATTTAGCTAAATCGCAGTGATTTTGGCTGGTTATTAAGGAATCCCAGAAACTTATATCTAGACATTCAGGACATATTGAGTCAAATGACTCACACAGAGTTTTGATTATTCAGCCAAGTAGGGTGGAGTTCCGGAATTGGAAGGCAAAGATACATGGACTTTGAGTCAGATGACTCAAGACAGGGAGCTCTTGAGTCAGATGACTCAAGACAGGGAGCTCTTGAGTCAGATGACTCAAGACAGGGAGCTCTTGAGTCAGATGACTCAAGACAGGGAGCTTTGAGTCATATGACTCAAGACAGGGAGCTTTGAGTCAGATGACTCAAGACAGGGAGGTTTGAGTCAGACGACTCAAGACAGGGAGCTCTTTGAGTCAGATGACTCAAGATAGGGAGCTCTTGAGTCAGATGACTCAAGACAGTGAACTTTGAGTCAGATGACTCAAGACAGGGAGCTTTGATTCAGATGACTCAAGACAGGGAACTCTGAGTCATTTGAATAAAATGGGGATTGACAATCAGAGTTATTTTAGAATCCTAACCATTACACTAATAAAATAGTTCTTCAACCTGTACCACTGGGTTTTATTGTCAGGCGTTTCAAGTACCTCTCCGACACTCTTAATCAGTAAAGAAAACTGTTAATCTAAATAATCAAAACAGATAACAGTCAAAATGTCCTTAAGAGTCTTCTAAAGAAACAAAAGGTAACTCACAAAATGTTATGTCTTTATTTCAATTATCGAGTTATACACTACGCCAACATGTGTAAATCTAATTTCAGAGTCCACAGATACAGGTGTAAGAAATCCACAAATAAATGTGCGAACATATAGTCTGTTTCTTATATTACCTGGTTGACAAAATATAATGATACGCCGCCCAATAAAAACACTATCGTTGCCCTCCCCACGTAGGCGGTCTAGTCGCCCCCACTCGACACGAGGCCGTTACAAACGGTCTGAATTGATTTAAAATGTAAAGATGCCACTATTCGTCCACTTTCACAGGTTCACAATATGTTCAGGTATTACTTGTGCTCTAAATACGAAGAAAATAAAAGATGGCAACATTAGTTTAAGATACGTAAAAGAGAGAAATTACTCTTGAACTCTCGTGTTTACTGCCGCTCACCTTCGCGCCTGTGTCGGCTCGTGTGCCGACTATACACGGTGTAAATATTTTATCAATCTCAGTAGTTAGTAAAACAAGATCTAAAATAAAAACAAACTCAACACTGTAAGTATGTGGCCACAGCTGTCACCCTTCATGGACATGACCTTGCCGCCCGTCAGCGGCTGGCCCTAG